AAATGCAAAAAGTAAAAAAAAAAAAAGAAAACCTCGAATTATCAGGTAACATTTGGGCTGCCTCCAAAGATAATGCTTGATTTAACATCCTCAACCTGACAATTCTTTTTTTTTTTTTCAACCTAAAATTCTTACTCATGGATCAAAATACCCTTTTTGTAATCGCCGATATATCACTCAGTCATTTATTGGTCCAAGAGTTCTTATTAAATCCTCAAATTTTAGTTTTTCTTACAATTCTTTTCCCTCAGATCGACAATAGTCTTCTAGAGTGTATGTTAAGGGTTTATTCAAATTATTATTCCTAATGATATTTTTTAAATACAAAATTCTCCAAATTAATTTTCCTATTTTTAAATTAATTTTTTCCTCACAAGTTTAAAGAAGTGTCTCCTTAGGAGTTAAATTAGGGTTTTCTAAATTTTGGGTTGAGTTCTTTCTAGATTTTTTCAAGTTTAGGATTTAACTCTACTGGGTTACTCTCTTGCAAAGGGCTATCTTCAAACTCCTTCCATTAGGACACTTCTATGGGTGGTTTTATAGGGTCAAATATCTCCCTAACAATGCTAGTGTTTTCCATAAAATGAAGAGAAAATTCTTCCTTGGTCATTGTCCAACAGAAATCATCCAACTTTACTTGTTGTTTAGGGACCAACTCTTTAGATTCAATTTCATGGCTATCCACTACCCCTGACAACCTTTGGGGTTCTAGGCTAACTAACTATCTTATCTAATTTTCTATGTTTCTTAATGCTGTCATTTAACTTTGTAATTAATTTAGTAGATTTGTTTTCAATTCATCCAAATACCCATTTTCTTAAGAGTAATCACAATCCTGATTATTCCAACATTCTACAGGATTAGCTTAGGTGCTCCACCATTGCTGATTTTCTACAATTGGGTCATTATTATTTGAATTGAATTTTGGGTAAGTTGACCAGCTTGGGTTAGAGGTGTTGGAATATTGGTCATCAAATCTTGTTTCTATGGTAGGTTGTTCAAAACTCATGTGAATGCTAGCCATCAATGGGTTGACATACTCCAGAAAAGGTATAAACAAGTTTTCTGAGAGTTTGCACTGCAAAAGTTTTGAAACATTATTTATTTTATTTTTTATAAAATAAATAAAAATAAGAACAAATAAAAAATAAAAATAATAAAATTTTCAAGCTTAGATGTTGAGAATTACAACTAAAATTCTCCTAAAGATAGAAAATTATGATGAATATCCCCGAAAATGGTGCCAGAAACTTGATGCCTGAAATTATTTTGAAGCAAGTCGATTAATCTCGCAAGTATACGTGTTGATCAAGTAATATACAAAAATGAGTATGTATATCAATCCTACAAGGATAAATTCAAAATATTCCTAACAGGAGAAGTTATAGTTTACTAAACTGCCAAGTTTTGTTTGAGGATCAAATATAAAATTCGAAAAGACCTAAATTCTAATATAGAAAGGAAAAATCAAATTAAGTTTTTTGAATTTTTCCAAGTATGGAAGGTTCAAACTCTTATAACCCGATCAAATAGTTTCTCGCAGTTTTCCTATGAAACCCACACTATTATTGACAACTAGGAACAAAAGTTTCTCCTTAGCCTTATCCTAGATTATAAAAATAACCAGACCTTATACAATTATTTTTTTGCTTAACCATACAAAGTTTTCTAGGATTTTTTAGATCCCCTTATCTAGGTTTCAAAACTCTAATGATAGATGCTTATTTCACTAGATTTTTGTGGTTAAATTATATTTTCTTCTAGGAGACTGGTAGAAGTCCTAGATCATAAGTGATTTTAACATTTTATCTTGTCTGGATTGAAGTAAATTAATTTTGAAAAGTCAACAGACCAACATACCAAATTCATGCACAGAAAAAAACATCGAGGGAACAAAAATTCATGGATTGAAATAAGAAGAAAATCATACGATTTACATCACAAGAGCATGAAACGTAGTCAATCATATTGCATTATAAAAGAAATAGTGAAAATTTCATTTTACGCATAATAAAGAAGACAATGCAAGTTTTATTGTAGGCATAATAAAGATTATAGTGCAAGTAGTCCATAACACTTACCTAGGGCCATTCAGTCCTTTACAATTCACCACACTCATCTATATTTAATACAAGCTCTGTGTTGACCTCACTTTTGGTTGAGGTTTAGTTTTTCTGCTTTAGTAGCCTAAGGTCTAGCTATAGGACTTTTCTATTGACTATTCCTAGAAAACTAGAAAAGGAACCCTCACCATTAGAATTCCAAACTCTTCTCTACTCAACTTGAAATTCCACATATTGGTCATAACCTCCAGCACCTGGTAGGTGGAGGGTCATTATGGGGGAACTCAAGATGAGTCACCCTTAGAACTGCTGGACTTTAGGGTTGACCCTAGGTGTTGTTCTAGGGCTTAAGGTACATACTTGCACTCACAATCACTCACTACCGTAAACCTAGAACTCTAGGCTTTGGTCTCTTGATACTTTTGGGAGACTCATGTAGGTGGGTCCCCTAAACCCATTAGCCCTAGGCTAGGGTTTGGCTAATATCACTACATAGAGGACCCACAATGGGGTTTCCATTGGTCCATGGCTTATTGATGGTGGTTGGCACTCCAACTCTGCCGAGAAACCTAACCTAGCCTTTTGCCCCTAAACTCCCCCAAATTACCTGGATACCTTTGGGACCTCAAATTTGGCCAAAATTTTCAAATTTACCCAAAATACCCAAATTGGTTCAAAAAATCATTTCAAACACCTTGAAAACACCCAAGCTACCCAAAATCACCAAAATTTGCCAAATTACCAAAATACCCCTCCTTAGCCCAAAATCCAAAAAATTCCAAAAAATTGCAAAAATTCCCAAAACCTCCCAAATACTTCTAATTTCATTTTTCTCAACTACCACATGACCCAATTTGGTCAATTTGACCACCTTTGACAAAAACCCCCAAATTGCCCTTTAAAGGCCCATTTTTTTCCCAAATCTACCTCAAATGTCTATCTAATTGGTCTCAATTTCCCCCAATTTCAATTCTAAACCCAAGTTCACCCTTGATATGACCAACTTAGACCAAATCCAAGCCCAAATGGTCCATGATTTGAACCTAATTTTGAACTAAACCAAAGATCCAATTTTGGCCCTATGACTTGGTTCCACCAAATTGAACCCATGACCTACTCCATTTGCCACAATTTGTGTTGAAAAATCTTCATAACATTCCTACACATCAAATTTAACCTTCAATTGGCCTTAGTGAAGCCCCAATTTCATTTAATTTCAACTTAAGTCCAAAAATCCCCAATTTTGTACCAAATTAGCCATGTCCCCAAACTTCACCAAATTGAGGGCCATAAACCCAAAATTTCCACTCCATGTCTTCATGAAAAATCTTCACAACATCTCACTTGATCATGTGGACCATTCAATTTGGACTTAGCCCAAGGCTAGCTCAACATAGACCCATGTCTAACCCAACATGCCCAAATTGACCAAATTTAAAAAATCCCTCAAATTGACTCACCAATTGAACTCAAAATCACTTCAACCCTTCACCAAAAGTATTCATAACAATCATCTACACAATGTTGCTCAATCAATTGGGCCAATTGACATGGCTAGCCTAGCCTAAACTCAATTTTTGATCACCTGAACTCACTTGGACCCTTTCACCAAAAAATGACTTAACCATGTCTAAGCCACCAAAGTAATCCTAAAGTCCTAAAGTCATCAAATTAATGACTCCATAGCCATTAGTTGGACCCTAGTGACCAGCCTAAACCCCATGAAACCACCTAAGCTATTTAGTTGAATGGGGCTATTTAGTTGGTTGGGTCAATCTTGCTCTTATAGAACATCAATACCAGGATCTCAAACCTCTTTAAGGAATCAACTTAGGTTTTTTGCTGAAAGAATGAATTCTATGGCTGTCGAGGTGCCTCTATATGCTTGAATCAATACTGATAGATCGATGCCGAGCCAAGACTATCAAAGTATTGGGAGTTTGCTTATTTTTCCAGGGCTAGGGGACTCTTCGATCATCAAGCCTTCCTCTTTGGGATGCTACATTTTTTATTAAGCTAGTGCCTCTAGATTATATCCAGAATTTGGTCGTTCAGCTTCTGAATCTACTGGTTCACAAACTTTATTGTGCACTCTTTATTACAGATGTTTCTATTACGGGCTACTCTTCTTCTGTATTGTATGATCCACACTTAGCGCACCATTTTAGGATGTTGAATTCTGATATGTCCGTTAATCATACCATAAAGAATATAGCCTAAGAAAGGGGGGGGAGAGAGAGAGAGAGAGAGAGAGAGAGAGAGAGAGAGAGAGAGAGAGAGAGAGAGAGAGAGAGAGAGAGAGAGAGAGAGAGAGAGAGAGAGAGAGAGAGAGAGAGAGAGAGAGAGAGAGAGAGAAAAGAGTGAATAATAGATTAACAATAAACTGTATCTATCATGCTGACCTTTTCCGACCTTTTTTAATAAAATCGAATGTATCTGACATCTTTTGTACATGAAATGATCTGCTTGATTATAAGGGAGAGAGAGTGAAATATGGTGATATTACTTTTTTGTTTCCACTGTAATCATGTGTGTTATATTTAAAAACTTCAAGGTGAAATTTAACCTAGATAGACCTATTTTTATTAATTAAAACCATGAAATCACCCTCATTTGCTAACTTATAGTTGCTTTTGGAGACAAAATCACAACCCTCGACATCCCCCATCTGACCCACAACCCTCAAAAACCCTTTTTTGCCCTCCCTCTTTAAGCTAGCAAAATCAATCTTCTGCCACCTCAGGTTCACATGGCTCCTTCTTCTCACCAATAATTCTATCTCTTCAAACTATACCCACTTCCTTACTCACCACCCCTTTCCATTTCAAAACCATAAAAAACATAAAACTAAAATAAAAAAATAAAACTTCTGGCTTTCAATCAATCTCACCAACAAAAAAAATCCACCCCACCCCTCTATATAAGTCCCCCAACTCTCTCTCCTAACTCGCATTCCCCTGCTTTAGCTTCCCTCCCTCAAGCTACTTATCACTAAAAAATCAGCCGCTACTTCATCAAAACTCCCTCCTTTTCTCACCTATGGCCACTTCCACGAACATCTCTACCGCGTCCGCCGCTCTCTTCCTCATCTCCCTCCTCCTCTTCTTCTCAACAATCAGCTCTTGCGGCACTTGCCCGACTCCAAACCCACCAACACCACCAACACCAACAACCCCATGCTTGAGTCCGCCCACCGCCCCCAAATGCCCGCATGACGTTCTGAAACTTGGAGCTTGCGCCAACGTGCTGGGGCTCATCAATCTTAATCTTGGCAAGCCACCAATGGTCCCTTGCTGCACTCTGCTCCAAGGTTTGGCTAACTTGGAGGCTGCCGTTTGCCTTTGCACTGCTCTTAAAGCTAATGTGCTTGGAATCCAACTCAATATCCCAATAAAACTTACTTTGCTCCTAGACTACTGTGGAAAGAACGTCCCCTCTGGATTCCAGTGCGCTTGAATGATTTTGGTTTTGGCTCTAGTTTTCTTATAAATGTTTTTGTTGTTTTTGGTGCTGTTAGTGAGCTTGCAAAGTCCTGTCGTACGTGAATAAGCTCATTGCATCCAGAACTTAATTTTCATTGTTGTTTGCTTTTTTCTTTTCTCTTCTCAAATTCCCTTTTATTATCTCTGTTCAATGGGAGCAACTGAACCTCACAGGTCGATGTGAGTGACTTGATTCAGATTTGTTCTGCCAAATGAATTGTGGTGCGAAGTATTTTTTTTTTAATAGAATAAAGAGGTTATTATTTAGGTGATTATTTTTAAAATAAAATACTAGAATTATTATTTTAATTTATAGTAATCTTATTTATAATTTCTACTAAAAATAAAATAACATTTAATGATGAATAATAAAATTTTTCATTGATTCATCTTATATATATATATATATAGAGAGAGAGAGAGAGAGAGAGAGAGAGAGAGAGAGAGAGAGAGAGAGAGAGAGAGAGAGAGAGAGAGAGAGAGAGAGAAGTGTGGTATGCTCAATGGTGAAAATATTACATATTTTATAGGTACGTGCGAATAATGATAGGTGGGGTGGTCATATTTCTATAATTTCACTTATATGTAACATGATTTTTTATTACTCTTGTTCACTTATATGTATAAAAAATGTAATATTTTCTCTTTGACCGAAAATGCACGAGATAGGATTATATGATGACACATCAAATGTAGAGATATTGGCATACCAGCAAGTAAATAAGTATTAATACAGAAGAGAAGTAGCTGCGACACTAACTAAACATGGCAACGATTCATGAATCAATTCACTCAATTTTACGGTCAACAGTGAAGTCAACTAGCTTCCAAAATTATTCACCTGAAGTTGATTCATATGTTTATTTTTTAGCCTTCATAATGCTCACAATCACTTGTATAAACATTGATAAGTGTGCATGATCCATTGTGGTTATTACACAATAAGAACAGGATCAGAGATGAGGATAATTTAAGAAAAATAAATGCATGTTTTTTGTTGTAATAACACATTAATCAATTTGTCACTTGAAAATAACAAAATATTTTATAAGATTTGTAATATATTTATATAAGAGTGTTTAAGATAACATTTTTGTTACAAAATAACACTTAGATTTTTTATTTATCTTAAGGTAAATATTTATTTTTTATGTACTTCTTTTAAGATGTCTTACTATTTCAAGTACTTTTCATATGTTTCAAAAAGTTTGTTGTTCTCCTTTCATTCATGGAATGTCATGTTACATCAATTGTTGCTTCACATGCGCATAAGATCCAAAAAACTATCACATGCTCTATAGTTGATATTTAAAATTGATTAAATAGAACTGTTGCAGAGTGGCATTAATGAGAGGACAAAATTCATGTAGGTCTCAATAAGGACAACAAGGACAAAGTTACAATTAGCCTAATGGGGAATACTTCATGAATCAAATGTTAGAGATTGTCATGACAAGCATTATGACGCACATCATTGATGAGAGGCTTGGCTTGATTTGATACAATGGTAGGTAGTTTGAAGCATGAAGAGCTAAGTGAGAGGGTAAGTAATAGTGAAGTAGGCATCGTAATATCTAACAGTTAGGAAATGATTTCTTTGATTGGTAAGATACTACCATGTAAGCATTAGCATTATATTGTAAGAAGATCTACTAATAGGTATCATGGAGGAGATGTATTATTTTGTAAGTTATGCTCATGCTATTAATGACCAAGCTCATTAGATTCAAAGTTTATTTAGATTTCACTAAGTAATCAGATCATAGACTCCTTATAATTCATTATGTTGAAATTATGTCAATTTAGTGATCTACTATTGACCTAATAGTCCAAATAACCTATTAAAACTTGAATAGATCTATCCATGCTCATTAAGTCCCATTAATGGCCTAATAATTTTTAAGTCATAATCACAATGGATCAAGCACAATTAGTATGGATCCATCTAAATAAATTTAACCTAAGCATATGCTAGGTTAGTTTAGAAAAAATCTAAATGATCCTTATTCTCAATCAAACATAGGTTGACCTAGCATTACGTGCTATAAGCTAGCACAATCTTGGAACTAAAACTACCTTAGCTTGGACATAGCATCCTAAACAACATCAATTTTATTCCTACACTATTTCAATGGTATAATAACTTCCAAGAGGCTTTTTATCTTATTTTAACCATCGTCCCAAAATAATAAGTGGTTCAAGTACCTAAACATTCTAATTAGCTCCATATAGTTTAGTGGCGATCATGAAATTCATAGAAGAAATTTCTCACTTTTGGATGACGTGATGTTAAAATTTCACCTTTGAATGAAGTACACATAAAATTTAATTTTAAGACATTTTAGATGATATAACATGCTTCAGATTATTTTTATTGTCCTCCATAAGCCTTATATGAAAAAAAAAAATCATCATTTTAAATGTAAAATAAAAGCCTTAAGAACATAAGAGAATAGCTGAGCGAAATTCATCATTGGACATAAAATAATTTGTTTTATAAAACTCACAATACATTGAGCAGATTGGACATTATTATAGGCATGCCTTTAGGGCATATGAGTTAAGGAATAATTAGATTGATTTTAGTTTCGCCGGATTGATTAATTAGTGCATTAATATGTTTCTTTGCATGAAAGTACTATCTTATAGGAGTTTATTCCCTAAATTAAAATAATGTATATAACTTATTGTGATTTCTTTCTTGCATACAACCCGAGTGAGGGAGCATATCATATGATTTAAAAATCAAATATAAAGCTAAAACTAAGATGAAAGAGTAAATCTTAGATAAGAGATTAAGACTAATGTAAATAGTAAGGGGCTAACTAAGAAACAAAGGAAAAATCCATCTATAAAATGTTTAAATATAGCTTAAAATTCCCTAATTAAATTACTTTTATGTCACCATAGAACATATTTGTTCAAATATTTATGAAAAAAAGTGGTGCTTGAATAAATTAATTATAAATTTAAATTTTTCTTAAATCCTTCCATTAATGGCCTAACATCTTAGTTTCAATCGACTATTCCCTCTTTTTATTTGAAGTAAAGATAGTTTGAAAATCTTTTAATTGCTATATAGATTGAAGGTTATGTAATTAAATATTTTAATTTTTGAATGATAAAAAGTATTAAGGTTAATTTTTCTCTTATGTGTTAAATGTTTGGTGCCCTAACTTGACTTCTCTTTAATGGATACCTCTTATGTTTTTGCTAATCATCTTAATATAAATTTTAAGTCAGTCATCCTTATCTTAGCCATCAGATATAACCATCAAAGTACTATATATTTTGTAGTGTGAGTATGTTAAAGTAAATAATGAGTGAATTTTAAGCTCAAAATGATAAAAATGTTCGGATTATTATCATTAAAAATTTTTTTTTTTATGCTAGAATTTTTTTTTAAACTTTAGGTGTCATGAAGACTTTAAACTCTAATGTAAGAAAATGATGCAAATAGAGCAAGCATAATTTAAGTGATTAAAAATATTGTTACAAAAATATAATGAAATTACTATAACGTTATTACTATAGTAGAGGTAATGTATTAATGCTAGTATATGCAACATTGTTATTGTAGCAGCTTTGTGGTGCCATTGCAGTAGCCTAGAATAGCGAAGATGGTGTCGTGGGGCTATAAAAGTAGCACTAAAATTCCATGTGAAATGCGTCAATGCTACAAAAGCAACATCAAGGCACTATGAACAGACATAACCAATTTGAAGTAATCTCATAGCAAATTTGGGGTTAGAAGATAAATTTCAAAGCATTTATTATGTGAGGATAGAAGCTAGCATTAAAGATTATTACAGTTAATAGTGAGAGACTAGAGTGAAATTAGAATGTATGAGAGTGTGCAAGTGAGTGAACGTTTGTGCAGAATAAAGTCCAAGGAGATAAGCCTAAATAAAGATTTTTAGAGAAGGATTTGTTCTAGGAGAAATATATAGTTCATTCTTTTGTTTACTTTATTTAATATAATTTCTTCAGTTTTTTTTAATTAAACTTGTATTTTTGCCCAAGCATATTTGTTAACTAAGTTTATACTATGAATTTATGATAAGTTTTATGTGTTTTATGAATAATACAGTGAATTTATGAAATAAAGGTTTCGGACTACCTTGGTTCACTTAATATTCATTTAACAATAATTTGGCCAATCATTTCATAATACCTTGTGTGATCCATAGGCATCAAAAGAGCCATGGTGGAATGGATAGGGTAAATAAAATAAATCATTGATTATATAGGGGTACCATACTTGAAATTTTATATCTTTTTAAGAAATTATCTTAATGGAATTACTTAAATTGATTTGGATAGTAATATACATAGTAAATGTAAGTGATTAGATCTTCTATAATATGTGAAGAAACTAAGAAACAATAAATAATAATTGAATATTATGTACACTACATTTATACTTAGTTTTACTATAGGCAAACTAGTTAGTCACTCAAAAATTATAATAAATATATTGCATAGTGTAGTTTTTTGCTTAGAAATTTATTCCATAAAAATTATTATTTAAATTTGTTGGAATAAATTAAGATTAATAACTTAGTATTTAAGTTAAAATTTTTTTTAACTATTCTTCATAGGAACGGGACTCAATTCCTTATTATATTACTTAAAACGACAAATGCACTTGTGCATACTTCAAAATTATGATAATATTCAGTAATTGTTTTAAGTCAAATTTCTACCTAGAGCCTCCAAGGACCATTATATGGTATTATTCTTAGATCTAGAAGGAGAAATTTTTGTTTGAAAAGTTTTTTTTTTATTATTTAATAAGAGAATCTTTTCTTGTGGTGAATTTGTCTTCAAGCATGCAAGTCATTCTAACACCATTGATTTAATAAATTTTTTTATTAATAATTCAAATACAAATCAAAACCCAGAGCGCGCGCGCGCGCACACACACACACACACAAAAATATAATATCATGAAATTTGAACTATTGAGCAAATATGAATTAATCCAATAATTATATATATATATATCCGCCGCT